CATCAAATCTGGCCGAACTGTCACCCGGTGGCTCGGCCGCCGAGTCACCGTTTGGTGACCTGGTTATGGGCCGAACCCCTGGTTCGACCGAGTCGTTTTGATGTGACTCGGCCGCTGTTTGCGGAAAATTTATAGTAAAGAAAATGAAAGAAAATTTGATTTGTATTCTCTCGATCTTAATTACAATTTAAATTCCGATTACAAAAGAGAGGAGAATGGATTTGATTCTCCCCTTTGTTTAATTCTGGGTTCTTCACGGTGACGGTGGAGTGCCTCCTTCGAATGCTCGCGTCGATTTTGCTCTCCGTTGACGATCCGCACATCTTGATTCCTTGGAACAGTATCTCCTCCTCACGATTTGACGCTATGGAGAACTTGTAAAGCAAGTTTTAGAACTCTTGATGAGTTAATTGATCTTAACCGTAATTGGATAGACAAGCCAATGATCTCTTCTTTGCTGCCCCAGAGCCGGATGAAAGATCCAGCATCCGAAACTAAGCTGATTTCTTAGTTATTTATAAGGGATTAAGGGGTGTAACCGCCCCCTTAATTCGCTCTTAAGTGGGGCTAATGGGATGTAACCGCCCCTTAAATCACTCCTGAGTGGAGTTGTGATCCCCTCAGATCGTGGGAAATGGTTTTGAAACCGTTCAGCTCGTGTTTGAATGAGTCAAACGCAAAATCCGCGTTCTGGTGTGAATTCTGCGTTCAAACGTAGTGTCTGGAAGCTCAGACGCAGCAATCTGGAAGCTGCGTTGGCAGCGTTGGAAGTTGCTCGTGAGCTGCGTTTGCAGCAATTTGGAAGCTGCGTTGGAAGCTGCGTTGACAACAATTTGGAAGCTGCGTTGGCAGCAATTTGGAAGGTGCGTTAGTAGCGTTGGCAGCTGGATCTGAGCTACGTCTGTGGCTGTGAACGCGGTGCGTCTTGATGCTGGTATGCGGGGAGGACTTCCGCGTCTTAGTTTGACTGTGAACGCGGTGCGTCTTGATGCTGGTATGCGGGGAGGACTTCCGCGTCTTAGTTTGAAGAGACCGTTGATTTGTAGTCTCTTTCTGTTAGAGCGTTGTAAAGATCGTCATTTTATAATATTTGTAACTCCCGATGTTGATTGTGAAGACTGTTGATTATAGCTTTCATCAGTTGTTGTGAAGATCATCAGATTGTAACTTTCATCGATCTACGTGAAAGTCTTCAAATTGTAGTCTTCTGGAAGCCGTTGAATTATAACTTCCATTATCGGTGTTTGATGGGGATCAACTATCTGCAGTGATTTTTAGACAGCCTATAGAACCCCCTCCAAAGTTTTCGAAAGTTCGCGGTTGACTGGGACGAATTTTTGAAATACTTTGGATCTCAACTCTAATCTTGGAGCTTTTGATTCCTTGTCATAAGGAATTGTTCTTTGCACCCGCTTCAAAGGCATCTTGGTTGAAAGGATTTTCCACGCATGACCTGTGTGATGATGAGCTTCAAATAGAAACTACAGCAACGGTACAAGCTACTCATGAGCAGAAGCTATCAAACATCACGTCACGGCTCACCTCCATTTAGCTGATGGGCCCGTAAACATTCATAGGATTTTTGGCAAACCCTCAGCCATCAACGGATTTGATAAGCCTTTACCGAATACCGTTTGAGTTGGGCTAGCATGTGAATTATTTGAATCCGTTTTACATATAACATTGTGCTAAGAGAATGAACCCTCTTAGACTTGATGCTATGATTTTGAATACATAGACTTTGTTATTATTTCTTCCTGTGTTACTTGAAACACTGAAAAAAAGTTGGAAGCGCCAGAGGTGTAATATTAACTTGGCATGAATTTTCACTTAGAGTGAAATTCAGAAATTTTTTTTACTATCACTAGGATAATTCTAGAAAATATTTAATCCGCTAGGGATTTTATAATGATAACTTGCTATTCTTATTGAAAAAGGATTAACAAGTTTATTGAGGGGTTTGACTGTTAGAGGTGTGATGTTAACCTAACAGTATTTTTATGGACCTATCGCTCCGTTGATGAGAGTCGATAAGTGGAAAGTGTTACGATCGGAGTAACTTTGAGGACCTATCGCTCTGTTGACGAGAGTTGATAAGTGAAAAGTGTTGCAATCGGAGCAACTTCGAGGACCTATCGCTCTGTTGATGAGAGTCGATAAGTGAAAAGTGTTACGATCGGAGCAACTTCGAGGACCTATCGCTCTATTGACGAGAGTCGCGATAAGTTGATTTTGTCAGAGGTGTTTGATATTAACGTGACAAGAGAATATTACGATTGGAGCAACTTTGTGGACTTATCATCCTATTGAAGAGGATTGATAAGTTGATTTGTCAGAGGTTTAGTGTTAACATGACGAGAATTTATTACGATCGGAGCAACTTTGAGGACTTATCATCCTATTAAAGAGGATTGATAAGTTAATTTTGTCAGAGGTGTGATATTAACGTGACAGGATTGTGTTGCGATAGGAGCAACTTTGTGGACATAAGTGGGTTGTCAGAGGTATGATGTTAACGTGACAAGATTGTGTTGCGATGGGAGTAACTTTGTGGACTTATCATCCTATTGACGAGGATTGATAAGTGGGTTTTATCAGAGATTTAGTATTAACGTGACAGGATTTGTGTTGCGATTAGAGCAACTTTGTGGACTTATCATCCTATTGACGAGGATTGATAATTGGGTTGTCAGAGGTATGATGTTAACGTGACAAGATTGTGTTGTGATGGGAGTAACTTTATGGACTTATCATCCTATTAAAAAGGATTGATAAGTGGATTGTCAGAGGTTTGGTGTTAATATGACGGGAGTTAATTTTGAAAAGTAAAACAGATTTCCTAGAAGATAGAGAACCAAGAATATTTTTCTTCCACCAATTGATTTTTCTCTTGATGAGTTTTGATTTCAAGATGAAAATATCCATAGGAGAACCTTGACATTGAAAAGAATTCCAATTACACTTTATAAAGGGAATGAATTCCTTATGGTGGAACCAACTCCTTTCAAACCTAAATAAAGCTGGAGCTGGCTAAATACCCCCACTATCAAGAATTATAGGAAAATTGTTTGAACCCAGAGATGGTGGGGAATATTGCAAGCTTGAGGGGAATTTTCTATCTCACTCAACACAAACTAGATACATGTCCAACCTAGCCATGGAAGGAACCAAGCGCTTCTTTGACCATGTGAAAGATCTACCAGAAAGAGGAAGATCAATTAGAGATGCACTAGAAATAAAATCTCTGAAGGAATTAATATCTCTAAGAGAACCATTTCTGTCACTTCGCTCATCAGAAGATAGTGTTGTATTAAAATCACCACAAAGGACCCATGGACCAGAGAAAATATCACGGACTCGATTGAGCTCCCACCAACAAACATCTCCATCATCCCTATCAGTAGGGGCATACACAGAAGTTGAAGTAAATCTCCAATTAGAAGGTTTATGATGAAGAAAGACTAAAACTGAGAAGATACTCACGTGTGAATGAATAAGAGAAAATGAATCAGACCACCCAACGAGAACTCCACCTCTATATTCAGTAGAATCGAGATGACACCAATGAGGAAGCTTCTTACCACCTATTGATCGAAGCTTTCTAGAAGAAGGATTGGATAGCTTACTCTCCTGGAGACCAACTATGTCAATAGCAGAACGAGAAAGAAAGTCTCTAACGAGGCATCTTTTGATTGAGTCATTCAGACTTCTAACATTCCATGTTGTGAATTTCATGACAACATTAGGTAACAACATAACCGATGAACTTCCTAATCATAATTGATTATTTGACCTAAAAATTTCTCTCAACTTCCTTTGCCTTCAAATTGGCAATAGTCTGATCAGATAATGTAACACCACAACTACTAGCAATATCTTCGAGAACATCCTTAGCCAAAGAGTTTGAAGGCATAGCAACAGAAGAAGAGGTAGAAGGTTGTTGTCTTATACCTTTCTTAAAAGACCCGATAACTTTTTTGGAAGAAGAACCATACTTTAAGAAACTCTTGTGGTTATGACTGAAGATCGTCTTCCTGACAGAGTGAGAAGATGCTAACGAGGCAAGTCTACGAGAAATCCCAGGTGGAACCGAAGAGGAAAACTGTATAACTAGAGTTTGATTTGTTTTTGGCGGGAGTGAGGTGACCGAAGAGTTTGAATTTAAAGTACCTATTTTCTTGCCAATATAATTATCCCAAGTGGTTTTCTCAGTATAAATAGTCCGACTCTTCCAAGTTTGCTTGACTAATTCCAAGGGGAAATCACGGAGAGATTCTAATAACGCATCTGAGCTGTCATTAGAAGAGTTCGCTGGAACCTGAGCCTGATTTTCCTCTTCCATATTAGCTAGGGTAGGATTTTGAATTTCCTCATTTAAAGGCGGAAGATCTCTAGTGATATCCTGGAATACTGCCGCTTTCAAATTTCTTAAAGTTACTAAAATACCCTTCTACTCTTTCATGGCCGTAGTGCTGCTCTGACCTTGCTCTGCCCCCGGTATAGACATCACTGGAGTCATCATCTGGGCAGTAACCTGATCTACCCACTAAGAATCAATAATAATATCATCTTGTGCTTCCATTACGGTTAGGTGTTTGCCAACAACGTTTGAACCAAATTGACCAACTCCAATCGGAGTAATTTCCAGCACCGCTTCTCTAGTGAAAGACTCCACCTGAGAAGTGTATGAGCATACCACTGATTTGGGGATACAATCCGCGGACTTGACTTTTATAAGGATACGAACATCATGCCCATTCAATTTGTCTTTGATGCTTTTATATCCCCTGACCATTTCTCCAAAAGTACCCACAATCTTCTCAATAATATCCAAGGACCAGAATTGAAAGGGAAGATCTTTAATTTTAATCCATTGATAAAAGTAGAATCAATTATCTTCATGCCTATGTTCTCCGTCCACGGGGCAAACTAACCTTTAAAATTTTCAAAGTTCAGACTTTTCTCATCGACGGCCTCTGAAATTTGAAATATAGATGGAAATTCAACCAAGAACTGATTATTCACGAATCGGTATAACCTTACCACTCCAGCCTTGCCATTGAATGAGCTAGGCTAGTTTGATGTTGATCAACTCGAGGGAGGGGGAACCATCACTAATGGTGAGAATAGCGAAAGTAGTAAGAACTTTGGCATTATTGCATAGGGTTGTAGAATCAGATAAACCAATCTTCTTTTCCAAGGGACGTAGATGAGTTCTACAATTCTTAGCGATATGGCCCCCTTCATGACATGCGAAGCAAATAAACGCACCTTTAGGACAGTATTTGATCAAATAGCGATCATCTCCACAATTGAAACAATGACGAGGTTGCTTAGGGTCCATATAACCAGCATGGAAAGAATGGCGAAGGAGCTTACTATCCATTTGACGACCTTTCTTCTTGCAAGAAACTGTAGTTCAGCTTTGTTCAGAATTCTCCAAGGATTTTGAAATGCCTGGACTTTTTTGCATAGAACCAAAAGAAGAAAGCGTTGGGGGATTTTTTTGTGGATGGCGATTATCAAAAAGACTAGCGAAAGGCCTTGGAAAGGGATGAGGACGTGGCTGACGCATCGGAAAAGCTACGGGTGTGTTAAGAAGAGTGGAAAAAGGATTTTTGAAGATTTTGGAGATAATGTACCCTTTGTTGATGTCATGAGTAACTTGATGGCGTGGGGAAGAAGCAAGAATGCCACGCTGAGATGAGGGACATACCTGAGACTTCTTGGTGTTCGTGATCGCTCCGCTCTCCATCCTTAATGCGACGAAGATAAACGTAGACAAATTGATTGAATTGAGTGTGATTTTTGTTGCGTAGGACACTTTATTTGCTCTTTGTTTCTCTATTCCCGGATTAACTAAAGCAATACATTGACTGCACAATTCTAGGAACTACATTGATTTGACAGTAAATAATTCTTACAATTTATTATGCAGACAAGTAACATGTTTTTATCTTTGGCTCCATAAAGATGTTCGTCTTTGCATGAATTATATCATCTGGTCCCTTAAATCTTCCATAGTTTGATATTAGCCTATCAAATCATTGAAATTGCTAATAAGTCTCTGAAATCATAAGAGTTATTGCAATTGGTTCCCTTTGTCAGTTTGATGTCACTTATCAAACATTGGGTTAATTGTGGAGTTATCAGTGTACTAGGGTAGGGTTCCCCAAACTTCCTTAGACATTGCTGAGCCGAGAATCCATTCCTGCATATAAACAGCACATGAGAGGATCAGAGTTTTGGGATCTCTGCTGATTCCTCCGACGATCAAGTTAGTTAAGTGATTGAGTGGAGAAGAAGTAGGATTAAAATGTATTCAACCGCAAGAAAATGCTTACCCAATCCAGCAGACAATGCCTCTATTTATAGGAGGTCTAAAGAGGCAACTGCATAATTTTGACCGAGTCCAAGCAGACAGCTTAGTCAGCAGGTTTTGGCTGTAGAGGGGATGAGTCACGTATGTGTTTAATATGATGATGATGAGGAATGCATGATGCATGCTTACGAGGTCCGATGAGTCATAAAGACTTTCGAGGCTGGAGTAACAATGGGTCTGATCGCACATTTAATATGATGGTAATCGACCGTAAGCAGGGGATTTGAGGACAAACAACCTCTCAACTTGGCTCCGTGAGAGGGTTGACAAATAATGCCTTCCATCTCGATCTTGTGAGTGGGCTGATAAGTACCGTCTTTTTATCCGGTCATCTTGGATTCGAAAGTTCTCGACCAGGCCCCGTAGGTTGTAGAGAAGTAGGATCGACTCAAATAGTGGCTCTGATTGAGGGCGCCTTTCGACACGGTCCTCCTTAGGAAGGGTAGTATCGGTATTGCTCGAGTCGCCCTGCCTAGGGCGGAGTTGGTCCGATGCTTGGCTAGAATAGACACACGTCGGCTCTTGGGGAGAATTAACACTTAATCAATTTTCTGTGTAGTAACACAGTTGTTAAGTGAAAATTGTGAATCGTGGTTGTGTTAGTTCTTAACCCAACCGTGCCGTGGTTGTGTTAGTTCTTAACCTAACACGGTTGATTACTAACTTACCCCGTGATCATTTTTAAGAGAAAGAGATTGCGAGGAAAAATGTGGAATGGGGTAGGGGAACTTTTACTATTGGACTAGATGAAAGCCAAGGTATAGATTTGGTCCCTAAAGAGAATGAAAACCCTAATTCATTATGAGATCTCTTGGGCTTTATATAGGCCCCTACAAAACTTACAAATAAGTCCCTAATAATACTAATATGTCAACACTCCTCCTCAAGATGGGCGAAAGATATCTATTAAGCCCATCTTGTCACATCCTCTAATCATATCTACTGAGCTGAGTCCTTTAGTCAGACAATCTGCTGCCTGGTCCTTAGTCGAAACATGACTTAGCTCCAGTAGTCCACTATCCAACTTCTCTTTGATGAAGAACCTATCGATCTCGATGTGTTTGGTTCTATCATGCTGCACTGGGTTGTTGGCAATACTGATAGCTGACTTGTTGTCACACCATAACTTCATCTTAGCTCCTTGATCCAGCTTCAGCTCCACCAGCATACTCTTCAACCATAGCAACTCAGCAACTCCTAAGGCCATAGCTCTATACTCTACCTCAGCTGTCGATCTCGCCACCACTGACTGCTTCTTGCTCTTCCACGAGACTAAGTTACCTCCTATAAAGATGCAATATCCTGAGGTGGACCTCCTGTCATCAGCACAGCTAGCCCAGTCAGAGTCGCAATAACCCTCGATGTTCACATGTCCATTCTTTCTGAATATCAGCCCCTTTCCGGGGGCACTCTTTAAATATCTCAGAATCTGGTACACAGCGTCCATATGACCCTTCCTCGGATCGTGCATGTAGCGACTCACCACGCTTACTGCAAAGGAGATATCAGGACGTGTGTGACTCAAATAGATCAGCCTTCCCACCAACCTCTGATATCTGTCACGATCAACTGGTTCTCCAGCCTCAGCACCTAGCTTGAACCTCTGGTCGATCGGTGTAGTTGCAGGTTTGCACCCTAACATTCCTGTCTCTTTGAGAAGATCCAGTGCATACTTTCTCTGGGATAGGATGATCCCTTCCGCTCCTCGAGCTATCTCTATTCCAAGAAAGTATCTAAGCAAGCCAAGATCTTTCACCTCAAATTCCTTACCCAGTCTCACTTTGAGTTGGGCAATCTCCTTCTCATCATCCCCTGTAATAATCATATCATCCACATATACCGCAAGCATAGTAATGTGGCCTCCACTCCGTCGAAAGAACACTGTATGGTCGGCGTTGATCTGTTGGTATCCCATACCAATCATAGCCCTTCTGAATCTGTCGAACCAAGCACGGGGAGATTGCTTCAGACCATAGAGAGACTTCTTCAATCTGCAGACCTTTCCCACTGTCTGATCTGTACCAAATCCTGGTGGTATCTCCATGTATACCTCCTCCACTAGATCTCCATGAAGAAATGCATTCTTCACATCTAGTTGGTGTAGCTTCCATCCACCATTTACTGCCAGAGAGATTAAGGTCCGAACAGTGCTCATCTTCGCCACCGGTGCAAAAGTCTCATCATAATCGATGCCATATGTCTGACTATACCCTTTTGCCACCAGGCGAGCCTTGTAGCGCTCAACTTGTCCATCTGGATTCTGCTTCACAGTGAAGACCCACTTGCATCCAACTGCTCTCTTTCCTTCTGGTAACTTTACTAGCTCCCAAGTGCGGTTCTTCTCTAGAGCTCCTAGCTCCTCGTGCATAGCCGC